AGCAGATCTAATCTGAGGCAGGTGTCCATTTAGGGAAAGGAAATCGACTGGGTGTGTCCTTATTTTCTACCTCCAGTTTGAGTGATTCCATACTTTTTTCCCTGTGCTTGGTCAATAAAAAGAACATTCACTGACTTCCACGATGTTTTCTCTTCATTTCTTTGAGTGTTCCTGAAAGCAACAAGTTGCACTTTGGAATGACCTTATTATTGTATCATGTTTTTGATCTGAGTTTGTTTTACAGAATGAAATGTTTGAATGAGTGCTCATCCAAGACTGCTGATTCCATACTTTTTGCCAGGGGTTGTAACTTGAAATACCAAGGCCTTGGTTTAAATAGATGTTTATTCTCCCCACAGGTACAATTAAATTCAGGAGTTTTTTTTTCCAAAATAATTCAGCAATAAGTGTGTTAAAACCATTGCACATATTCAAGAGACCACTTAAGGCTGAGTCACACTACAAGATTTTAAAACAGTCGGCTGATTTTTTAAAGACTGAGAAAGCCCATACATGAGGATAGAAAATCATGGATATAACAGGTTTGGTCCTACAGTGTGTGGTGTACAGCCACACGGCAAAAGACAACACACCACACACGAAAAGATATTTCATTCATGAACATTCAGATATTAAATCACGCGAGACTTCCTGAACTCTCATGAGAATTCAGATGTCAAAATCAAACATGTTGAATATCCCCAATTTCAGGTCTGAGCGGTCCCGACGTCCTTCCAAGCCGACTAGATCACTCTTAACTCACCACCCACGGTGGGAATATCTGCTCAGATTATCTTTAGAGCCGTCACAATAATCTGGACTTTTTATTTATTATTTTATTTTATTTTATTGTTATTTTACCAGGCAAGTCCTATTGAAATCTCAGATCTCTTTTTCAAGGGCGGCCTGGGCCTGAAGGCAACCTATTGTACATGTTTTGGAGGGTGGGGGAAACCAGAGTACCCCTTCCTTAAGATTGTCGAAAAGGCAACAATCAGCCTGATTTTCTTGTAGTGTGATGCCGGACTTAGTTGGAGACAAACACCACATTCAAATTAAAATATGAGGAACTGAGTTTGATCCCATATGCTGCTGCACTTTATACACTTGTCTGTCTTCACCAGAGATTTTTTCATTGCTTAACTGAGAAAACTAATCATGTTGGATAGATTTGCCTGTTGACAAGTTGAAGGCTTATTCAAGCTCAGCTTACAGCTCATGTCCTGGATTTATTAATCTGACTTGTGTGAAATGAGCCTCAGGTGGTGTTCTGGGCTACATAGCCAGTGTGAGTTCTTTTTAGGGATAACTTGGTCTGATGCAGAGAGATGGCATCCATCCCACTTTGGCTGGAGCCACCCTACTTTCTGGGAAATTGGCCGATTTTGTTGACCACCAAAATTTTTGACAACCCAGGGTCCAGACCAGGAAACACAGTTGTCATCTTACACATCTTACACAAAATAAATATTTAAAATTTGGTGGTATAACCCTTGCTTGCAATGACTGCCTCAAGCCTACGACCCGTCGACATCACCGAACTGTTGTACTCTTCACTTGTGATGCTGTTCCAGGCTTTTACCACAGCTTCTTTCAGTTTTTGTTTGTTTCAGGGGGTTTCTCTGCTCTCTCTCTCCTCTTCAGGATTTGAGATGCATGCTCTATTGAGTTAAGGTCAAGTGACTGACTTGGCCAATCTAAAACCTTCCATGTTTTCTCCTGATAAAGTTCTTTGTTGTGTTGGCAGTGTGGTTTGGGTCATTTTCCTGTCGCATGATAAAATTACTACAGGTTAGTTTGGATGCATTTTTGTAAGTTGGCAGACAAAATTATTCTGCATGCTTTGAAATTCATTCCATTGCTACCATCATCAGTTATCAATAAATATTACTGAGACTGTTCAAATGAAGCAGCCATGGCATTACTGTATCTGCACCATGCTTTACAAATGAGCCTGTGTGCTTGTGATCATAAGTAGTTTATTTCTCTCTCCAAACTTTGTTCCATCCCTTTGGTAGGGATTAATCTTGGTCTCATCAGCCCATGAGATTGTCGTCCAGAACTTTTGCGGCTCATCTCTGTACTCTGCGAGTACTCTGCGATACAAACCACTCTATGAGTGGTTTGTATCTTTGAGTGAAGCCTCTATATTTCTGTTCTCTGAGTCTTCTTCCAACACTGGACTGTGATACCTTCACCCCTGAACTGTGGAGGTCATTGGTGATGTCACTGACGTTTTGGGGTTTTTATTTACACCTCTCACAGTATTTCTGTCATCAAYGACTGTTGTTTCCTTGGCTGACCTGTTGGACACGTGATACTCAGTACACCASTAGTTTCATTCATATTAGACATTCCAAATTGTTGTGCTTGCTATGTCCAAAGTTCGTCCAATGGCTCCGATTGAKTTTCCTTCTTTTCTCAGCTTCAAAATGGCTTACTTTACTCCCATAGACAGCTTTCTGGTCTTCATGTTGGTTATCCTTTTTAACATGAAATACCTACTAAACCCAGGATAAAAAGYAGACTAGTCACGCAGAACTATTTAATGTTTGAACAATCAAACTTAAAGGTGTAGCATGAATGACCGTGACCTGACATGATCTTTTGACCATGTCATCGTGTCTCACAATTATCCGAACTTTGAGCTGAAAAAGCTTTTTTACTAGAGACAAACTCTATATTAGCTTTCAGCAGATAACTGTGACACGAAAATCTGTTTTAAACTTTTGTGATTATTATAAAARCAAAAATGATCAAATAACAAGATTTTCCTTGTTAAATGTATTTCTATTTCAAGTGTATTATCATACTGTGATCTGAAGATGATTTTTGAACATTCATTTTCACACCAGTGTTAATTTAACTGATTGTTATTTTTCTCTCCTGGACAGATAAGGAAAGAAAACACTCAAACTCACACTTTGCTAAACATGAGTCTGATTAAAAAGGGTGAATAAATATTGGTCAATAAGTGACCTGATGCTCCAACTTGTAAAAGTGTAGTGCAGGACAGAAATAGTTGTCACTCTTTCTGTTTCTCTCCTACCAAACCGCTAAAGGCAACACCTGGTCAAAATRAAACACCTGTCAGTCACATGTTCCAATACTTTTGCTCACCTAAAACGGCTGTGGTGTAATACAAACCATGATAAACCACAACTACGTTGTTTAACACATCTACACGTAAATAACAGGAAATAAAAGTTGACATTCTGACCTCTTATCTTATGCTCATCTTTTGATCTTAAACCCAAAAGTTTTCAGTGTACAACAAAAACAAGGGAATTTGTTCTGCTGTTCCAATACTTTTGGATTGGACTAACTCTCAGAGTTCACTGATCCTGATATGTTTTTACAAACAGAACAACGTGGACAGAAAAATACTATGAGCTTAGGTCTCATTTTTTTGATGCTCACATGTTCTGATATGACTGATTCACATCTACCAAACTGAAACTTTGAACAAGAGGAAGTGAAGGACTGGTTCACTAATCATGTTAAGTATTCTAATGAGAAACATTTGGACCAATCAGAGACTATTGTTGCCTTTTTTTGTATTATTACACAATGCTGAAATAAAGTATTACCAAGTACTTAAAAAGGTCCATGTGCACTGATAACCACATTTCTACAACCCTCACATTATTGGACAACATTCAAAGACTACAACTGTGAATCAGTGAAGGTAAGAAACAAATATAYCAGTCACATTTATATGTAAAGAAAGAAAACTGTTGGTTTTAATGTTTTCTGAACACWTTAATAATGGTAAGTTGTAATAATATTTGATTTACATATTAAAGTGTTTTACAAGATCCATATTTAATAATTATTGTTTTATATGAAGTTGCTTTTTTCTAATCTATTCTTATTCATTCTGACAAAACTCAGATAATTTACAGTACAAATTGATTTTAGAATACATTTTTTATTATACTCTGGTAAAAAGTAAAAAAAAACCTGTGTAAAAACTTACACATACTTTCTAAGACTATACTACAATGCACATTTAAAAAGCTTAGAAAACAATAATGTGGCCATTGTGGTCATTTTAATTTTATTTATTATCTTGCAGGATGAAGTGTACTGTGGTGTTTCTTGYGCTGTCCATGGTTGTCCTGATGGCTCAACCTTCAGATGGCTTTGTCAGCTGGATTGTCCGTGTGATCAAAAATATCGCTCGGTAAGGACTTGAATTTTTTCTATTTACTGTAAAGAATGTTTTAATAAAAAACATTTAAATCATTTGACAAAAAAATATTAAACTTTTACAATTCTCATTTTTTTAAAAATATTGTTTTTCTTTACCATTTTTGTGATCATGTGTTTTTCAGCCATATTCGTAGGAGACGGAGATATGGAGAAGACCAACTTGACCAGCAGCAGCTGGACCAGGATCTGCAAGACCAGGACCAACTGGACCAACTGGACCAGCAACTAGCTCAACTGGATCAGCAACTGAAACAAATGGCTCAGCAGCAAGACCAAGAGCAACTGGATCAGCAGCAGGACCAAGAGCAACTGGATCAGCAGGAAGACCAGGAGTAACTGGTCAAACATTACTTTGAATAAAAGTCTACATGACAGTTTTAATTAGACTCAAGTGTCGCTTTAGAAAATTTATGTTTTAGCACAAAACAGCAACAACTTTGATCAGAAATTCCTGAGCACATCTTTAATACTTAACTGATAAAAGCATTCAAACTTTTTTCTGTTTTGATAAAACAATTAATAAACAAATGAGCTTTAAGACGCACCAGAAAGAGTTTGTCTAATTTGAAATTCTTGCTAAAAAGATGGGATTGTTTTGTTTTTTATGCTTGTCTGTTGTTGTATTACTGATTACACCTAGCAAACAAACTTCAAGCACAAAAAATTAACATTTTAGACACAATGTCAAAAATCTTAAACTGTGTTTTTAATGGTGTATTCACCAGAGGGCTGTTTCACATAAACAGGATTGAGCAGGATAAGAGATAAATCTAGGCTTGACATAACTTGATAAGTTCATTCTGGTTTAACCTGTTTCACAAAGGCCAACCCAGGCTGAAGAGGTGTAAATATGTCAAGCTGGGTGTAAGTAATCCAGGTAAATGTTTGTCCWCARTTTTCTTCAAAAGACTATGAGATCGATCCCAGATTCWCTGATTCTWCAATGAACTAGACACTGTAACTTAATGACCCCCCGCACACACAAATGCACCACAACTCTGAAGTATTTATTCCTAATAAATGTCATGCTACCAGGTGCATCCCAAAATTGTAGTGGTTTTGGTGGGGGTCTTTATTTTTTGGAGTGGGGGGGGGGGTTGGTTGACCTGATGGATAGCCCCTCATCAGAGCTAAACAACCAAAGAAAACCTGAAGCTCTCATATTTAATAGTTTTTGAGCAATCACCATTTTTGTATGTCCAGATACCTCTTTTTCAGATAAATTGGATGACTTCTACCCCTGCTATGCTTTAAATGATAATAATGGTAAATAGTCATAGAAAACTTTAGATTAGCGCTTCTCAATTTTAAAATTAGAAATAACAAATGTGCTTACAGCTAGAGATAATTAGTAACAGCCCTAAAGCGCAGACAAGAAATTTTGGTCTGCAATTAGCGCATTTGTGCTTTAGGGGACTAGTGCCCACCACTGAGTCTTAGACATGCAAACACATCATTTCTACAAGATTACCCAGCATCCCTTGCTGAGAAAATACTGGTCCATGAGGAAGCGGGCGGGGCTTTTCTGAATACTTCTTTCAACACTACATGTTGTTATACAACAACACTGTTAAGTGTTTTAAAAGACGTAACTGTGGGCGGAGCTGGCTCGTCAGGCATCTGGGAACCAGCTGGTTGGGCACCATGCTCTATAGAGAAGAATCTGGTTAAAACATCCCTGATTTTAACCAGAGTCATGAAGAAATTTGCTTCTCAGTTACAGAAGAGCAAAATTTATGTATTAAAAATAAAAACTACATGTCTGTTTTATTATTTGGATCTGTTTCATAAATACACTGGTGTGAAACAACTTAGTACGAGTTTGATTGCGTTTTGAGATACGTTTATTTTGGAGTTGTAGCCCCGCCTGGAGAAAAATCCACCAGCTGCCACTGACTGTGAATTAACACCAACACTGGAAGTCAGTTTAGTCAGAAAGTGTTCCACAATGTATCTAAGGAAAGCAGTCATAGATGTGTTTGTTGTGTTTTGCAGGATGAAGTGTACTGTGGTGTTTCTTGTGCTGTTTATGGTTGTTCCGATGGCTCAAACTTCACAAGGCTTTCTTGGATTTGTCTTCCATGGATTTCAGCAGTGATTCATGGAATAAATCAGTAAATGTGACTCATCATTTTAAATGGTAAATGGACTGTACTTGTATAGCACCTTTCTACCCACCCAGGACACTCTTCACACTACAATCTGTGTCCTCATTTATCCATTCACACAGCACTCTGTTAGGTCTCTACAGAGCTAACAAGTACAATCATCTATGAGACTAATCAGTGCCAATCACATTCATACACTGATGGGACACATCAGAGGCATTAGGGCTGAAGTGTCTTGCTCAAGAACACAACAATTGAGACAGTTGGACGGGGGATTGAACCAGACGACTCCCCTAACCACTCTGCCACTGCCACCGGCACACAAACACACTTCAGTAAGCAAAAACCTGATGGAGGCCAACAGGGGTGACCAAAAACAGATTCAACTATAAACTATAAATTTACAAAAACATGGAGAGACGAAACATTTCATTAAAGAAGAACCCGTCCAGAGGACCTACTTATTTTTTATTTTTAAAGTTTTAACATATGTTATGGAAATATTTATTTAACAAAGACAGAAATACTGTACGTGGCCCAAAAATAAAAAAGTACTCCGTGGAATGGTCAGCTGAGTTTTAGTTGCTACAACAGGAACACAGAGAACAACAGAGAGCCATCGAACTGTCCCCACTGCTCTCTGCTCCTGTTTCTGCCTCTTTGACACAGCTGAGGCCTCATAAATAGTAAAGTAGGTTAGTAAAGTTTAATTTATAAAGAGCCTTTCACAGAAATATATTCACAAGGTGCTGTACAATCATTAACAGTATTAAAATGGTGGAAAGAATAAAATGAAACAGAAAAACATAATTAAACATGAGCAACAAAAATTGAAACATCAAAACAAGAATTAATTTCTAAAATTGTAAATCAAACACAAGGTCAATGCAGGTCAGAMATATACAATAACACACAAAAACATAATGAATGTGAGAGAGAAAAATATGGTGTAAGTTCAATAATAAAAAACAGATTAATGAGCATTTACAATGGAGTTAAGCTGGCAGTAATGGTGAAATGGTTAGCTAAACACTTGAGTGAAAAAGTGAGTTTTTAGGAGTGTTTTGAAAGAGACRATGTTATGAAGGGAGCTCAGATTAACAGGGAGTTCATTCCAGAGCCTGGGGGCCACAGAGGAGAAGGACCGGTCACCACGGGTCTTAAAGTGAGTGAGGGGAACCATAAGGAGATGTTGATCCTGTGAGCGGAGGTCTCCTCTGGGGTTGTAAGGTGAAATGAGACTTTAATGTGTTCTGGTGCTTGGCCATGAAGAGCTCTGAAGGTGAGGACCAGGATTTTGAACCAGAAACCAGTGAAGTTCTGCTAGGATCGGGGAGATGTGGGTGAATTTGGAGGTTCAGGTTAGGAGTCTTRCTGCTGAGTTTTGGACAADCTGAAGACGATTTAACTGTTTCTGGTTAAGACAGGTGAACAAGCTGTTACAACAGTCTGAGCAGGTAGAAATGAAAGCATGAATTACCATTTCCAAGTCTGAAGAGGACAGCAGGGGCCGGAGTTTAGAGATGTTCTGAAGCTGAAAGTAGCATGTAGAAACCAGGTTCTTTATGTGTTTATCTAGAGACAGATCTGAGTCCAGATTTACTCCCAGGTTGTTCACATTCTGCTGAACGGTTGAAATCAAAGAGTCGAGATGTTCTTTTATCTTTGGGATTTTATTTTCAGGGGCCAGGATCAGTGTCTCTGTCTTACTGAGGTTTAAAAGTAACAAGTTGTCAGACAGACACTGGTTAACTTTAGTGACACATTTTATAAGAGAGGTGAGCCTGTGGATGGTGGAGTCATTAAAGGAGTAGTATAACTGTAGGTCATCTGCAGAGAAGTGTTAGGAGATATCTGGGAAACTTCTGATAACCTCAGTCAGGGGGCAGATGTAGAGTGGGCCCAGAATGGAACCCTGTGGAACTCCGCAGGTGAGTTTGGCTGAGTCAGAGAGAGATTTGCCTAATAAGACTGAGAAAGAGCGGTCTGAGAGGTATGATTTGAACCAGTCTAGCAACATCCCGTATGTCCCTATGTATACTGTTTAACAAACACTATTATGTCATGTTAATAAAGCAAGATTTCATCCTAAGCAAATGCTGGGTCAAAGAAAAAACAAAGATAAACACAAGTGATATCTAAGAATGATTGTTGTAGCAAATCTTGTTGAAAACCTAGGTCATTGAAGGTCATGAATTAGTGGCTTAAACCTTAAAGTATTATTTCCATCACAACATATTTTGCCAATTTGCATAAAGTACAATTTCTAAACAAACTTATATTCAATGAAAAATACAGGACAAATGAACAATTAGGAGGCAACAAAGTTTCTGTTGATCATTGATGAAATTGCTACATTAAAAGTCTGATCAACGTCTGCAACGTTCAACTGAAGGGAGTGGAGCAATGTCTGACCCAGCTTCTGTTGCATGTGAAAGATGAGATAAAACTGTCTGGTCTTCATGGCAGACTTAGTGGTGGCCAGTTTTTGCAACACTGCCCCGTGTTTCACAATAATATCTTCACCTCTGTCATGCACGCACATGCCAGTACATAAAAGGGCGAAACCGTTCACCCGGGCACAGACGGGCACGTTTTGTGGCACTGCCTTCCTTTCTGCTAACTTACCATCACTTTGACCAATCCATCGGAAGGTAAGAAACAAATATTGGGGTTGTATTTGACTTTTGATACTTTAGTAAATTGTATAAAGCTAGGTGTGTATTGATTTCAAACAAAACCGGTTGAGAACTGAACATAAAGAAATATTCAATGATTCTTTAAAATCACATGAACACATGAAACCATTACAAATATGGCACTATTGAACATAAACACTAAATTAAGATTCTTTGTTAATCTAAACTACAATGTATGATTAACAGTCTTAAAACAAAAGTATTGTTGAACAGCTGTGATGTTTCTCGTGGCAGGATGAAGTGTACCTTGGCATTCCTTGTGTTGTCCATGGTTGCCCTCATGGCTCAACCAAGCCAAGGATTTTTGCATCTAGCTTTGGGAGCTGCTAAACTTCTTGGCGAGTAAGTCCTTAGACTGCTACTGTTGGTGTTTTTTTAAATTTATAACAAAATGATTCAATATTTTAATTTTAAAACCTCAAAAAAAATACATTGTGATTAATCTTTTCTTCTTCCTACCAGTCTGTTTGGCAGGAAAAAGGCTGAATTTGCGGAAAAACAAGCTGACCAGCAGCAGATGGACCAGCAGCAGATGGACCAGCAGCAGATGGACCAGCAGCAGATGGACCAGCAGCAGATGGACCAGCAGCAGATGGACCAGCAGCAGATGGACC